GGGCTATAGCATCGTCACTGTCCATTTTTGGCTTCCACCCACGTACCAAGCCAACCCATTTGTGAACCAAGCTTAGGCTTTTTCTTCCTTCATCTGCTGGTTGTAAGGTGTTCCCTTAGTGAGCTGAGGGAGGCACTAACACAACAGTGTGGATGACACGGGCATCCGGGTTACTTGCTCAGGCAGCTTGCATGGTCCTGCTGGGGTCGATCCTGGCTCCTGGGCCCATCTGACTTCATTACTTGGTGGGCCTGGCAGGACCCAGCTCATAATAGGCACCAGGATACGTGGTTCCTTGGTACCCCACGGTCAAGAATTCTGTCTCTCTCAGGGCCCAGTACTGCACCAGGATTTGTTTCTCAAAAGCGGTGTAATTCTCTGCTGCAGATGGCATGGCCTTGCTCCAGAACCCCAGGGGCCTCCCACTCAGGCATCCCATAAGCTCCACACTACATTTTCCTCACTATCCAGTATTGTAGGATCTGTCAGATCATATGCCCTGAGTGGCAAGACTGCTCACACTACAGCCTGGACCTGCTCAGGGCTGGCAGCCTTACGTGTCACCTGAAATATGGATCGGAACAGCATTTCCAGGTGTGGAATACGCTGCCTCCAAAACCTAAAGAGACCTCTCCTTTGGACCTGAAGAGGCCTTCCTCATGGTGGAAGGTGCAAGATGCAATGCTTTGCGCGATTATTTGGAGGGGCTGTCCTGGCATACCTTGGCCCACTGAATCCCTAAAAATCGCACTAATGTGGCAGGACCCTGAGTCTTTTCAGGGTTTATCTCCCACCCTCTGGAGTGCATGTGTCTTATCAAGGCAATGTGCTAACCATCTCTTGCTCATCTTGGCCAATCAATATGATGTAATCGATATAGTAGTCCAGTGTGATATTCTCTGGGATGTACAGGTGGTCCATGTCCTCTTGGACTATATGATGACATAGGGTGAAAAAGATAACATAGCCCTATGGCAAGACCATCAATATATATTGTGGTCAGTCCCATATGAGTGTGAAATGTCTCTGATCCTCTCTTCTGATCAGGATAGAAAAGCAGTCATTCACTAAATCAGTGCCCACCTGCTGTACCTGAGATCCTTTAATTTGCTCCAGCAATGACAGCATGACCAGTACAGCAGCTTCAATCAAGGCTACTACTTGGTTGAGCTCACAGTAGTCTACATTCTTTAGGATCCATCCAGCCTCCTCAGGGCCCAAACTGGTTAATTCAGTGGAGATATTATGGGACTAACACCCCTGCGTCCTTTAGCTCTTTCAGAGGAGCACTAATTTCCACCATCACCCCTAGGATAGACACAATATTGTCTTTGATTTACAGTTTTGATCAGGGGAGGTGGGTATAATTTCCGAGGCATCCATTTGAACTTCCCCACTACCATAGCTCTGCCCCGGCAGGCCAAGGAACTCGTGTAGGGGTTCTGAAAACTACAGATATGTCCATTCCAATTATGTATTTGTGAGCTGGGGAAGTGACCACTAGGTGGACCTGTGGACCCAACGTACCCACTGTGAGCAGGACCTGGGCCAGGACTTCATTTATGACCTTATGTCCACTGTGCTTCTCAACATGGCTGGTGCCACTCTCACCAACATATTCCTCACTTTGTAAGTTGGGTATATCCTCTGGGCCCTCCCATAGAATAGAGTCAGCTGGTTGGTCTTCCAGACTTAAGTAGTGTATCTACTCTAACACATCTGCTCCTCTGAGCCCTTTGATCCTTTCCTCCACAATCTGCCATGGAAGTCTGGTATTTCTGCTTCACTTGGTGTGGGCCACTGTTTTTTCCAAGCTACCACAAGTCATCCAAAATTGTATCAGCAACATTTCCTGGAGTCGTTGCCACGGTTTTAAGTTCTGTGTCCTGGGAGAGTGCTCCAAGTTCATGCTTCACTCCCTTGGTCCACTGTCCTCAGCATCCAGTCCCAGGCATGCTTTCCCAGCTCCTGCTGATACATGTTAGCCAGATTCTTCAGCTTCTGTGTATCATTCCTTTCCTTCCTTTGCAAGCTTAGAACCTCTCCAGTCAGGTTGTGCTAGGATTTGACCCTGTTTGTTGATCTGGTTGCCGAGAGGGGAAGGGAAGTTGATTCTGAAAGGGGTAAGAATTGTTTTATAAGACACATGCTTCGTTCGAGGCCTCTGCATTATTGTCAAGCAAAGGGAAGTTTCTGTATTCTAACAAGGAATGGGCTACTCCAGCAGACCCAGTGGGTTCAGGTGAATCTGTAAGTTCAAGGTGTTACACGCATCTTCCCAGATATCCCCATCACAATCTCAGGGCTCCACTCCTGTCCTTTTAGGGCCCTGAGCATGGCATAGGAGATGTACTGGGCCTGAGAATTCAACCTTCTCTGAAGTTCGACTACACTTACAGTTAAGTCCTAAGTCTGATCTTCTCCTCTGTCTGCCCTCTGGTTGCAGAACATTGGGGTTTCCTTAAGTACAGCCAAGGAGGTCTTCTGCCTTTTACATTTTGCTTTGAATTGGTGATTATTCACACTGAGCATGTCATATCTTTCTTCAGCTAATCAAGGGTGTTTAGCGAATAGTCACCCAAGTCTGGTTACCATTTCCCTCACACCTCTCTAGTACCAGGAATATTTCACCAGCTAGTGCATTCCCTTCCACTAGTATCTCATTACAGTCCACCATCAGTTAAAGTTACTTCTGCTTCAAAACCCCATAGGCCTGCACTATAATTCTCCCACTCAGGAGAATCAACTCCACACTGCATCTTTTCTCACTACAGACATCTCCAGTATCATAGGGTTTGCCAGATCATATGGTTCAAGTGGCATCCTGCTTGCACCACAGCGCAGACATGTCACAGGGCGCTTTGTGTTGCTACAGCACATCAGGGACTATTGTGCTCCACCCCCACAAATGATGCTTCGTTATTGCCTGCTGGCTGCTGGGTGGCCCGGCTCCAGAAAGGCAGTAGAGTCTTCTTTGTAGTTTGACTTCTCTGGCCCACTGTTTTAGATTGGGGTCTCTGAAAACAGATTTTGAGACAGAGAATTGCACGCACAGGCTTATCGGGGAGTGCCTTTGGAATCAGCACCTGTAAGGAGGGCAAGGTTGAGCAGAGGGAGAAGTGGGTCCCCAATGCGGTTGCATCCAAGGCCTCAGCTGATCCTAAGGGGGAGCTCTAGAGCTAGGATGGTCCTTCAGAGTCAGCCTATATTGAGGCAAAGAGGCTGGCCTTTGTACTCACTCATAGACCACATATCAGCCATGGGCTGCCAGTACGTAAGTATAACCTTGGCCAAGGAAGTTCCCTGTGACAGAAGACAATTCCCAAGGGGACACAGCTGTGATCTTTCAACAGCTGATATTCAGGGTGCATTGACCCTGAAGAGGAGATCTGAGCAGAACACCACAGTATCCACTACATTTATGGTCAAAAAAGTTAAAAAAGTTTTTTAAAAAAGTGATATATATCATATATATATACCACAGTATCCACTACATATATGGTCAAAAAGTGATATATATATATCACTTTTATTTATTTATTTATTTATTTTTCCATTCATCTAATTTTTAAATTTTTTTTAAAAAAATTTTTATTGGAGTATAGTTGATTTACAATGTTGTGTTCGTTTCAGGTGTACAGCAAAGTGAATCAGTTTTACATATACATATATCCACTCTTTTTTAGATTCTTTTCCCATATAGGTCATTACAGAGTACTGAGTAGAGTTCCTTGTGCTATACAGTAGGTCCTTACTAGTTATCTATTTTATATATAGTAGCGTGTATATGTCAATCCCAAATTCCCAATTTATCCCTCCCCCCTTTCCCCCTGGTAACCATAAGTTTGTTTTCTACATCTGTGAGTCTATTTCTGTTTTGTAAATAAGTTCATTTGTACTATTTTTTTAGATTCCACATATAAGCGATATCATATGATCGTCATCATTTTCTAAATGAAAAATGCACAGGTCTAAGAGATTCTCTTCCAACATCTGTGAGGGGACAGTGTCAGTGATGGAGTAGGGGGTAGGAGGGAAGAGGGAGAGAGAGGAGAAAATAGCTGTGCTTGGGGTCTTAGGGGTATGTCAGTGAAATCACTAGGGCCGGTTGTGCTGTGTATATCAGAGATCCTGATTGTGTGCATGTAGGCAATCCCAGGAGTGGCTCCTCCCCTCAGCCTTCTTCTATGGGAAACCTGATTGGGGATGAGCTTCTGTCTGTGGAGAAGTCTGTCAGGAAGGAATCCTGGGCCTGGGGGAGAAGCCCATATGGGAATGGGCCCAGGGACAGTGACTTAGCAGTTCGTGATGTATCTACTGCTGTTCCTACGCCTCTCCGATCCTGTGGCTTCCCCTCATCCTCAGCTGCATTCCTCCTCACCCTCATCATGGCTGACTCTGGCTTCTGTAGAACCCCCACCAGCCTGCACCCTTCAATCTGCTCCTCCTTTTCTAGTGCAGCTGCCCACTCATGGCTGCTGTGTCCCTCTCAGTGCACAACCACACGTGGTGAATGTGTTCTTCCTTGGGAAAGGGCTAGAGAGCAGAGAGATGCTTCAGGCCACACAAGCAGACATAGGTGCTGACACATACCTGGGCACACTCCATATATATATACCCCCTAAGGTTCTTTACCATTTACAAACCTCCATGCAATTTCAAAGTATGTTACACTTTACAAAGCACTCCTTGTTTTGCAAAGCTTTTCAGATAGCAGTGTGACAAGCAGACCATACTTTGGGAAATGCCTGCTCTCTGTGTTTTAAGAACTTGTTTTATAGTTTGCAATCTCCTTTGACATTTACATACCTCCACAAGGATTACAACAGACTTCATTGTTCACAAAGAACTGTTAGGTTTTTCAAAGTATTTCAACAATTATAAATCACATTATAGTTTCTCTAGTGGCACTGGAGGGGCAAAGGGGTCAAAGGACCAGCCTGGGTTTCGTCTTCCTGAGATTGGAGCATTGACGGATGTGCTCTGCTTTTCCTCTTCAGGGCGAAATACTTCAAAGGGAAAAAGATCCATGGAGAAATTGACATTAAAGTAGAACAGGTTAGTTGGGGCAGGTGGACATGGGGGTCAACTGTCCAGACTGCAAACTGAGTGGTCTTTTTTGTGTGATGTGCATGAATCCCTGATTTTTTTTCCTTCCCAGGCTGAATTCTCTGATCTCAACCTCGTGGCTCATGCCAATGGTGGATTCTCTGTGGACATGGAAGTCCTTCGGAATGGGGTGAAGGTTGTGCGGTGAGTGTAAAAAGGTTACCTTGGTATTATGGGGGAGGCAAAAGGGCTCCCTTAGAGCTGAGGGAGAGTCCCTACCTCCCCTCCCATCCTTCTGTGAGCAAGAATTTAGGCACATTGCAATAGCCAACCTAAGTATCCATCAACAGATGAATGGATAAAGAAGTGATACACACACACACACACACACACACACACACACACACAATGGGATGTTATTCAGCCATGAGAAAGAAGGAAATCCTGCCATTTGTGACAACATGGATGGATCTTGAGGACATTATGCTAAGTGAGATAAATCAGACAGAGAAAGAGGAATACTGTATGCTATCACTTATATGTGGAATCTGAAAGAGCCAAACTAATAGAGACAGAGAGTAGAAAGGTGATTGCCAGAGGCTGGTGGGTGGGGTGGAAGAATAGGAGAGATGTTGTTTAAGAGTACAAACTTGCAACTGATAGATAAATAAATCCTAGAGATCTAATCCACAGTACGGTGGATACAGACAACAATATTGTATCATAATCAGCAAACCTGCTAAAAGACCAGATCTTAATTATTCCCACCATGAAAAAAGAAATAATTATGTGACATGGTAGAGGTACTAACTAATGCTACAATGGCAATCATATTATAATATATAAATGTATCAAATCAACATGTTATACACCTTAAACTTATAGAAGAATTGACATATAACGTGCCAATTATATTCCAATTTTTAGAAAAAGAACTTAGGCACAGAATGTAAGAAGATAGCTTCTCTTGTGGAGAAGAGCCAAGGATCCCAGAAGACCACAAGCCAAACTTTTCAGTTATTGGATTGGCCAAAATGTTCGTTCGTGTTCTTCCATAACATCTTACAGAAAAATCCAAACGAACTTTTTGGCCAACCAAATATTAATTCAACAAACATTTCTTGAGCATCTACTGCATGCCAGGTGCTGCTCTCAGCATTTTACATTCAACAAATATTTATTGAGTATCTATTGTGTGCCAGGAGCTGTTGTACATACTGAGGTCCTGGCAGTGAACAAAACAGACCCCAAAAAAGACAAAATAAAAACCCTCTGCTCGGGGCTTCCCTGTTGGCGCAGTGGTTGAGAGTCCGCCTGCCGATGCAGGGGACACGGGTTCGTGCCCCAGTCTGGGAAGATCCCACATGCCGCGGAGCGGCTGGGCCCGTGAGCCATGGCCGCTGAGCCTGCGCGTCCGGAGCCTGTGCTCCGCAACGGGAGAGGCCGCAACAGTGAGAGGACCGCGTACCGCAAAAAAAACAAACAAAAAAACCCCTCTGCTCTCGTGAAGCTTACATTCTACTGTGGGATACACACAATAAACAAATAAAGAAGGAAATGTCAAAGTGCTCAGAAAGAAAAAATATCAGCAAAGGGATATAGGGATTGGTGAAGGGATTGGGGAAGGGTCTGCAGTTTGGTTGGGGGTAGACCAGTAGTGTGAGAGACATTTGAGGAAAGACTTGAAGGAGGTGGAGGAGTGGGGCATGTAGAAATCTAGGGAGGAAGCGTTTCAGGCAGAGGGAATAGCCCATGTAGAGGCCCTGAGGCTGGAATTTATTCTGGGCAGCATCCTTCGTGGACAGAAGTAGTCTGAGAGATTGTGACTGGGAGCTGTGAGAGCTGAGCGGGCAAGTTGCAAGCTCACCTTGGTGAGGAGAGGAGCAGGCAGGAAAGGCTTAAGAGGGCCACCAGATGAGGAAAGGGTAGGAAGGGCACATGTGGTGGAGGGAACAGCTTGTGTATGTGGCTGAGGTGAGAAACCACTGTGTAGTTTCTAGGAGCTGTGGAGATTTCAAGACTTGACCTTTATTCTAAAGGTGGTGGGGAGCTTCTGGGAGGACCATCTACACTCTACCCTTGCCACCCCAGGTCTCTGAAACCAGACTTCGTGCTGATCCGCCAGCATGCCTTCAGCATGGCACGGAATGGAGACTACCGCAGTTTGGTCATTGGGCTGCAGTATGCCGGAATCCCCAGCGTTAACTCTTTGCATTCTGTCTACAACTTCTGTGACAAGCCCTGGGTGGTAAGTGACAGAAGGGTGCTACTGGCAGAGGGAACAGCTCATACATGCATGTGGGAGCTTGAAACCACTGTGATCTGGGGGAACGGAGGAAGTTTGGAAGCTTGGAGTCCCAGCTTGGAGACTCCCTCCAGGTAAAGGGACTTGCTGACCCGTCTCTCCGGCCTCTCATAGTTCGCTCAGATGGTTCGACTGCACAAGAAACTGGGGACAGAGGAATTCCCTCTAATCGATCAGACCTTCTACCCCAATCACAAAGAGATGGTGAGTCTGGGGAAAGGGAGTGAACTGGAGGGAAAAGCATCATGCCTATTGCAATAGTATTGCCAATGGATGTATTACCAGTGGTATGCTATCAGAGAGTGCAGCCGGCACATGCACATGGAGGGTGACGTTGCTTCGTGATACGGTTTATTACTACCAGGAATTTACTGTGTAGTTACAAGTGTGATTAAATCATTGATCCTGTTATAGTATCTATTCTCACCAGTATTAAAAAACTGATTTCTAGTGTAAATTAACAGAATTAATGTAATGATTCAGATTATGGTGCTCACTTCGGCAGCACATATACTAAAATTGGAACGATACAGAGAAGATTAGCATGGCCCCTGCGCAAGGATGACACGCAAATTCATGAAGCGTTCCATAATTCTAAGATCCCACATGCCTCACGGCCAAAATACCAAAACATAAAACAGAAGCAATATTGTAACAAATTCAATAAAGACAAAAAAAATGATGCACATCAGATTATGTTACATATACAAATCAAGTCATTGTTACTAACGTTACCAAATATTCCTCCTGATAGAAATGTTAATAGTGCTTCAAATTAGGATTGCCAATAAAAATTATCAGTAGCAATGTTAAAAATTAGATTGTATACAAATAGAAAATTGGATTGTTGGCTACTTTTACCACAAATATAATCACTAATATTATAAATTATAACCAGTATTACAAATTACTGTTATTGATAAAAAATTGTGAGTGCCAATGTTATGAATTAAATTATAGTTCCTAATAGAATTTGAGTAATTATTACTAGTATCATTGAAGATTATAACTATTATTACAAATTATTATCAATATTATAAATTATGCTCTAATATAAATTATAAGTCCCTGTTTTGAATTATATTATACTTAATAATAAAAATTGTATTACCATTACTAATATCATCAAATATTACAACTAAGATTACAGTTTATTACAGTGTTACAAATTAAGATCATCAATATAAATGATTAGTGCCTATGTTGTGAATTAAGTTATAATTACTAAAAGAAATTAAACTATTAGTACAAACATTGTAAAGTACTGTTACAAATTACTGCCAATGTTACAAATTAAGATTACTAATATAAATTATGAGTACCTATGTTTTGAGCTATCCTACAGTTACTAACAGAAGTCATTATTAATATGGTTAACATCCAATTGATATCATAAATAATTACTAATATTAAAGTTATGTTTACTAGTATAAGTTATGAGTACCACAGTTATGAATCAGGTTTTAGTTACAAATAGAAATTGGAAAAAAAAAGAAATTGAATCACCATTACCAATGCCATCAAGTTTTATAACTAATTTGACAAGGTTTTTACAATGTTACAAATTATGTTTACTTATATAAATAAACATCACCAGTTTTATGAATTAAATTACAATTAAATATCAATATTGACCCAGCTTTACCAACTTAAATAAACATTGGTACTAATGTTAAAAATTCTTACAAGTATTACAAATTATGGTCACTGATATAAGTCAACAGTACTATGAATTAAGTTTACTAACAGATGAAGATCAAATCATTAGTTCTTAGGAAACCAAGTTTGTTTATCATTATTATTATTTTACATTCACTGAGAGACAGTATAGCTGACTATGGTTAAGAACATGGACACTGTAGTCAGAATTTCTGTATTGTAATCCTAGCTCCACAACTTATTAGCTTCCGAACATAAGAAATGTTAGTTAAATGCTCTGTGCCTCAGTTTTCCCATCTGTAAAATATGGCTAATAATAGTTCCTGCCTTACAGAGTTAATGTGAGAATTAAATTATTTAATGAACATAAAGTGGTTACAACAGTGCATCTGACATTTATTAACTGCTACCTAAGTGTTGATGAAGTTCCCTGCTATTCTTTATTTGTTGAAGTGTTTTTATCATGGAAGGATGCTGGACTCTGTCAAATGCTTTTTCTATGTTTATTGATATGATACGGCTTTTTGTCCTTTATTCTATGAATATGGTGTATTACATTAATTGATTTTCATGCAAATTGAGTCACACTTGCATTCTTCGGCCAGATCCCACTTGGTCTGACATATAATCCTTTTTATATGCTATGGGATTCAGTTAGTATTTTGTTGAAAATTATGGTATCAATAATCATAAGGGATATTGATCTGTAGTTTTCTTATGATGTCTTTGTCTGGTTTTGGTATCAGGGTGATAGTAGCCTCATAGAATGAAATGGACAGTGTTCCCTCCTCTTCTATTTGTAGGAAGAGTTAATGAAAGATTAGTGTTTATTTTATTTTTAATTTTTTAATTTTTTTTATTTTTTTGCTGTGCCGTGCTCATGTGGGATCTTAATTCCCTGACCAGGGATCAAACCCGCGCCCCCTGCAGTGGAAGCATGGAGTCTTAACCACTGGACCTCCAGGAAAGTCCCTAGTGTTAATTTTATTTTAAATGTTCGGCATACTTCACTGGTGAAGACATCTGGTCCTGGGTATTTCTTTGTAGGAAGTTCTTTTGTTTTTTTAAATACTAATTCAATCTCTTCACTTATTGTAGGTCTATTCAGATTTTCCATTTCTTCTTGAATTAGTTTTGGAAGTTTGTGTCTTCCTAGAAATTTGTCCATTTCAACTAGGTTTTCTAATTTGTTGGCATAGAATTGTTCATAGTGTTCTCTTATAATCCTTTTTATTTCTTTAAGGTCAGTAGTTATGTCTCTTTCATTCCTGATTTTAGTAATTAGTTTTCTCTGTTTTAAAATCTTAGTTTAAAAAATAAATAAATAAATAAATAAAATAAAATCTTAGTCTAAAAGTTTGCTTATTTTGTTGATCTTCTCAAAGAACCAACTTTTGGTTTCATTGATTTTCTCTATTGTTTTTCTATTCTCAACTTCATTTATTTCCACTCTAATCTTTATTACTTCTTTCCTTCTGCTTTCTCTGGTGTTTGTTTTTGTTTTTTGTATAGTTTCTTAAGAAGATTAGGTTATTGATTTGATATCTTTCTTATTTTTAAATGTAGATGTTTACAGCTAAAATTTCCCTCTAAGCAATTTTTGTATGTTGTCTTCATTTTCATTCATCTCAAAGTAGCTTCTAATTTTCATGGTGAGTTCTTCTTTGACCCATTGGTTATTTAGGAGTGTGTTGTTTACTTTCCACATATTTGTGAATTTCCCAAATTTCCTTCTGTTATTGGTTTCTAATTTCATTCAGTTGTGGTCAGAGAACATACTTTGTATGTTTCAGCTCTTTTACATTATTGAGATTTGTTTTGTGGCTTAACATATAGTCTGTCCTCGAGAATGTTCTATGTACACTTGAGAAGAATATTTATGCTGCTGTTGTAGGATGGAATGTTCTATAGATGTCTGTTAGGTCTAGTTGGTTTATAGTGTTGTTTGGGTCTTCTCTTTCCTTGTTTATCCTCTGTCTAGTTGTTTTATCCATTATTTAAAGTGAAGTATTGAAATCTCCAACAATTATTGTTTTTTTGCTTTTTTTTTTTTTGGCTACATTGGGTCTTTGTTGCTGTGCATGGGCTTTCTCTAGTTGCAGCGAGCGGGAGCTACTCTTCATTGTGGTGCGTGGGCTTCTCATTGCAGTGGCTTCTCTTGTTGCAGAACACGGGCTCTAGGCACACGGGCTTCAGTAGTTGCAGTGCATGTGCTTAGTAGTTGTGGCTCATGGGCTCTAGAGTGCAGGCTCAGTAGTCGTGGTGCACGAGCTTAGTTGCTCCATGGCACGTGGGATCTTCCTGGACCAGGGATTGAACCTGTGTCCCCTGTATTGGCAGGCAGATTCTTAACCACTGTGCCACCAGGAGAGTCCCAACAATTATTATTGAACTGTCTATTTCTTCCCTTCAGTTCTGCCTGTTTTTTTTGTTTCATGTATTTGGGGCTTTGTTGTTAGCATATATGTTGACAATTGTTATATCTTCTTGATGAAATGACCCTTTTATCAGTATAAAATGTCCTTTTTTATCTCTAGTAACAATTTTTGTTTTAAAGTCTATTTTATCTGATGTTAGTATAGCCATTCCAGCTTTCTTTGGGTTACTATTTGCATGGTAAATCTTTTTCCATTCATTTACCTTCAACTTATTTGTATCTTTGAATCTAAAGTGTGTCTCCTATAGACAGCATATAATTATGTCATGTTTTTCATCTATTTTGCCTATCTCTGCCTATTAATTGGAGTGTTTAATTAATTTACACTTAATGTAATTACTGATAAGGTAGAATTTATGCTTGTAATTTTGCTATTTGTTTTCTATATTTCTTATGCCTTTTGTGTTCCTGTATTCCTCCATTAATGCATACTTTTGTGTTAAATAGATATTTTCCTGTGTGCCATTTTAATTCTCTTGTTGTTTCTTTTTCCATGTTTTTTAAAAAATTATTTTCTTTGTAGTTTCCCTGGGGATTACAATTAACATTTTAATTTATACCACTCTCATTTTAATTAAAACCAATTTAATTTCAATAGTATTAAAAAAATCTTTGCCTTTTTATAGCTCTATTCCCTCACTCTGCCTTTGTGCTATTATTGTCATACAAATTACATCTTTACACATCATATGCCCATGAATATAGACTTATAATTATTGCTTGATGCAGTTATCTTTTAAATCAGATAGGAGGAAAAAAGCATTACAAATAAAAAATGCATTCACACTGTCTTTTATATTTATCTATGTAGTTACCTTTACAGGTGCTCTTTATTTCTTCATGTGTATGTGAGTTACTGTTTAGTGTCATTTCATTTCAGCCTGAAGGATTCTCTTAGTATTTCTTGTAGGAGAAGTGTGCTAGTGACAGATTATCTAAGTTTTTGCTTATCTGTGAATGTCTTAACTTTTCCTTCATTTTTGAAATATAGTTTTGAAGGATATAGAATTCTTAGTTGACAGTCTTTTTCTTTCAGTGCTTTGAATAAGTTGTCCCACTGCCTTCTGGCCTCCAAGGTTTCTGATGAGAAATCAGCTGTCAGTCCTAC